TAGACGTTCATGGGCCGCGGCTCATACCAGCCACGCGAGCCGTCGAATTCGCCAGTATCTTTGTCCACCCCCTCCACTGCCCGCCAGGGGATCATGGCTGACTGCTGGAATCCATAGTCGGAGGAGAATCGGGAGATGGAGAACCACATCGCAAAGACATGTATGTCAGTAATTTCAGTTCCGCCGCCGGCCACTTCGTCACCGAGTTGAGCTGATCCCGGGTGCACACCAGCAAGAGCGACGGGCAGAAACTCGTCGTTTTGGGGGCCTGCATACATCTCAAACGATCCCGCCCATCGCCACGAGTTGGGCAGTGTCGGCTGACAATATTGGTCTGCAGGAAGGAAGGCGGGCGAAGGCGGCGGCGAGGGGGGCGGCTGCGAGTCGGGATCCGCGGCTTCCCTGCGGGCTCTCGCCATGGAGCTCCACAAACGGCTCCAAGGGGGTCGGGCGGCTCTTAGGCAAACGGGGGCGCGCGTCTCTCTGTCTTACTCCCTCCGTCGGGACACGCCCCAATTCGGCGGCGTGATGGTCGAAAAATTGGGTGCCGAAACGGCGTTCGCCTGAGACGTACCAAATGCGGGTTCGGGAGGTGGGCTGTCTCTCTCTCTCGGGCTGTAGGGTGGCCACAGTCTGGCCGCGCCCTATTTTTTCACTCCGTTTGTTCTCGTCTCATGAAATCGGAGGGTCGGTGGTCCACGCACCACGGGGGGACTTCGTGAACTGAATGAATGAAGCGCGACCCAATGATTTCATGAGTAGATGTGTTTACACGTCATTGTTTGTTTGTGTTCACACCTGCAAGAGGAACAATAACGATTTCGGCCTTAGCCGTCGGCATGCCAAAAGCGTGCTAGCTGCTCGAGTAGCCACAAGTAGTACGCAGTTGGATTCCGAGGGTGTCCCATCACAGTTCGGCGGCTGGGCCAAGTCCCTGGATATTCCACGCTTAATTTTTCGTTTTTTTGCCTTCTGGTTCGATGGCGGGGCTTGTCCCGTGTACCTGGTAAGATCTAGTGCCAGTGCGCGCCAGTCCGTGCCCGGTCCGGCGCGAGGAGCTTAGTCATAACTTGTACGGGCGCGCGGATGTCGATACGTCGCAGTGCCGAGCGGCTGTGGCTGAGCGCCGCGCAGGCGAGTGGAATACTCGAGATCGAGGCTTCGAAGAAGGCGGTTGCGGCGCTCGAGACAGCCCTCGAGGCGGCAACGAACCGGCGCGCAGCTGCTTTGGCCTCGCACGACGAGGTCGTATCGCAGCACGCGTCGACGCAGCAGCAGCTCACGTCCTTGATGCAGCGGCGAGAGTCCTGGGACAGCGTAGACGTGACACGCTTCACTGAGCTGACGGCGAAGGAGCACGCACTCAAGGGAGGCATATCGGCTGCGCTGCACGAGCGTTCAGAGGCTGAGGTTGAGGCTGAGCGTGCGCAGCGCTCATACCTCCGTGCGATGCAGGATAAGTACGCCGCCGAGATCCTGCTCGGCGAGAAGAACAAGCTGCTCAGCACGGGCGTGTGGCTCGCTCTACTCGCCTGCAACACCACCATTTTCGTGGGGACTCAGGCGGGGCGGGGCAGCCCTCGGCCGGAGAGGGCCTCGGGCGGCCCACGCCCCTCGCCCTCGTTCTTCTCAGGTCCTGCTCCAGCGGAGAGAGGCGCACCGCGCTGACTTCCTCAGGGAGGCGGCAACGAGTGCGGCGGTCGCGGCGGTGGCGGCGGAGCGCGAGCGGCTGTTCCGGCAGGGGTTCCGAGCCGCCTCGGTCCGGCCAGATGATTCCC